AGGGAGAGGGGCCTGGAGAGTGAGTATCCTGTGTTTTGGTGGTTTGTTAGGGTTTTGAGCTCGGGGTTTCTTTGCTAATGTGGGTTGTATTCTGTTTGCAAGCATTATGGGGAAGATCTTGTGGCGCGAGCTTAAGCGTCGCTATAATTTTTCTGAGCTGGAGGTTCCCGAGCCTCGAGAGGAGGATGTTCCCTCCCTGAAGGTCAGCCGGAAGAGGAAGAGGGGAGGAAAGGAGGTCGGGGGGACCTCCGCCTCCCCTGATGCCGAGGAGGTGACCTCCAAGGCCGCTGATGTTGATGCGGTGGATCTCACCGAGAGTCCGCTGCCAAAAGAGGCTCCTCCAGTGGGTACGGAGGGGGTGGCCCGAGCTGCTGAGCCTGCTGCACAGGCCGCCGAGGTGGCGACCTCGACTGTTGAGTTAGTTGCTCCTTTTACCGAGGTGAGTGTCTTATTTCCTTGCACATTTCTTCTGTGTTGACTTTGCTCGGTTTATTGAGGTGGTATGGACCTTTTTATAGGCCGGGGTGGCCGTTGCCGAGGTAGGAGCCCAGGTTGCTGAGCACGATGCTCGGACGGCCGAAGTGAGTATTTCTCTTTTTAATTTTTCTGTTTAACCTGTGTGTTGTCTTATTTTTTGACACGGGATCGCTTTTTACAGGCGGGGAGTGTTGCTGAGGCCCCGGTTCCCCCGAGGTCGGAGGTGCCCGACTTGGACCCTCCTGTTGGCAAGCAGGGGGTGTCCGCTTCCACCGCTGCTGAGGCTCGTGGCAAGGGGCCGAGCTCTGAACGGCGACGCCTGTCATGTCTGCTCCTTCACCTGGTTCGTCCCAGGGGGTTTCCCGAAGCTGATACCTCGCTCAACGCTTAGGGAAGGGTCGCTCTGACGTGAGGTTGGACCATGTTAGCGCCTCAGCTGACATGGACTCGTTATGGAGTGCGGGGGTGACCACCGAGAAATTCTTCCCCACAGGCTCGTTGAGCGCTGGGGACCAAGAAATGATCGAAGGGGCAGGGCCTGTTGAGAGCTTTGACGCGGCTCAGGTCCTTTTGCAGAGGGCTACGACCATCATGGGTCACTGGAAGCATAGGTGGGCCAAGCAGCAAGAGGATCTGGCCAAGCTGAGGGGCCGACTTCAACCCTGGAAGGATGCGAATAAGATCCTGAGGGAGGAGAAGAAGGTTCTTAGTGCTGCCCTTAGTGAGGCGAAGATGTAGGGGCCGAGCTTCGATCTGCGAGGGGCGACCTTGCAAGGGTGCAGAAGTCTCTTGAGATCGCCTTGCGATCCAACGAGGCTTATGCCTCCCAAGTGGGGGAGCTGCAGGAGCTCGTCGCCTTCTCTCAGGGTCGTGCCCGCTCTTTGGAGGATGAGGTGACGTCTTTCCGTGGCCAAGTGCAGGCTCTGGAGGATGTCGTGACTTCTCTCAAAGGAGAGTTGGCGGTGGCGGCTGAGGAGCGCCTCCGTAGCGAGGTCATTCTTGGTGGACGGGAGGACGAGATTGCCACCTTGAGGGCGGAGCTTGCGGAGCTGGCGGTGGGGAAGGTGGTCGTGGAAGGGAGGCTTGCGGAGGTCGAACGCTCCGTTGTGATGGAGCACAAGAGGGGCTTCCAAAAGGCTACTCGTCAGGCACGGCTCCTTGCTCCCGGGTTCAACTTTTCCTCCATGCATGTGGAGAAGGTTGTCTGCTTTGGGAGGCTGGTCAAGGAGGACGATGTCGATGACAGCTCTAGTGAGAATGCCTCAGCCTAGGCCGCCTTTGTAATAGCTTAGTTTATTTCTCCCTTTTTCATTTCCTTGTTTGGTATTTTCCTTTGAACTCAAGTGTCAAACTCTGCGAGTGTTTTGTATATATATTATTCTTCGAGATTCGATTTTCCTTACTTTGATTGTTTTTCTGTCTTATCGGGCTCAATCTTGTTTTTAGAGTAGGATAGACTGCATTAAGGGTTCGAATTCGACCTCAGATGGACGTCCTAAGGTTCGAACTTGACCTCGGGTTTGCATAAAATGAATTGTATCGACGTTCGTACTCGACCTCAGTTTTTGTGTAAAATGAATATCATCGAGGTTCGGATTCGACCTCGAATGAATGCATCGAGGTTCGTACTCGTCCTCAATCTGGAGTAAAATGAGTTTTATCAAGGTTTGTACTCGACCTCGATTTGGAGTAAAACGAATTTTGTCGAGGTTCGTACTCGACCTCGGGTGAGCGTATTGAGGTTTGTACTCGACCTCAATTTGGAGTAAAACGAATTTTGCCGAGGTTCGTACTTGACCTCGAGCGAGCGTATTGAGGTTCGTACTCGACCTCGGGTGAGCGTATTGAGGTTCGTACTCGACCTCAATTTGGAGTAAAACGAATTTTGCCGAGGTTCGTACTCGACCTCGGGTGAGCGTATTGAGGTTCGTACTCGACCTCAATTTGGAGTAAAACGAATTTTGTCAAGGTTCGTACTCGACCTCAATTTTTCGTTAAGTGAGTGCTTCCGTGAAGGTTCGAGTTTGACCTTAATTTATTAGCGCCGAGGTTCAAAGTCGACCTCAGATTGAAGTAGAGTGAATTGCGCTAAGGTTCGGATTCGACCTTGTATGTTTGTTACGTAGCACGTTGTAAAGGTTCGAACTCGACCTCGGATAGGAGTGTTAAGGTTCGTACTCGACCTCATAATTTTAACGAGGTTCGGACTCGACCTCGGATGAGAGTTAAAGAGGTTGAGCAAAATAAATAAGAATGTGGATTGAGCAAAATGAGTGATTTTATTGATCATTTTTGTGTGCCTCGTTAAAAACCCTCTCAGTCAAGGACTGAGGCGGGAAAAGAGTGCACAACTTCATTCATACAGAAAAGAGAAATGGAACTTAAGGAGCTACGGTGGGGGGACCCCCTTTGCTTTGCTTGCCGGACGAGGAGATCTTCAGACTCTCGGCGTAACACTGCCGAGCTGTCTTCTGATTTGCTCTGACGGAGATGATCTTACCGTCATTCCCTGGGAACTTCATGGTGAGGTGCGGAGTAGATACCACCGCTCCGAGCTGATTCAAGGTTGGCCTCCCGATAATGATGTTATAGGAGGTGTTGGCCTCCACGAGGAGGTATCGAACCATGATTCTTCTTGTATCCGGAGGTACCCCGAAAGTTGTTAGTAGGTCTACGTACCCGCGAGTGTGAACTCGCTCTCCTGCGAAGCCGACTAGGGGCTCCGTGTGAGGTTGGATGAGAGAATGGGGGACGTCTAGCCTGAGGAACGTCGGCCGAACTTCCTTGGTCAATGAGTGTCTTCTGTACCTCCTAGTTGGCGACTTCCACCATGATTACCATGGGATCATCCTGGTTGGGGTTGACGCCCGCGTAGTCCTCGTCAGAGAAGGAAATCGGCGGTGAGCTTTGGTGCGAGGCCGGGGTGGTAGAGTGGATGTAGTTGACATTCCGTAGGTGCCTCTTCCAGGCCAAGCTGCTAGCGCCACCCCCAGCGAAACCACCTGCGATTGTGTTAATCACTCCCCGTAAGGGGGCTCTCCCTGTCTCCTGGCTTATCTCGGCCTGCACTGCGCCGCCGACATTTTGTTGGGAGCCAGAGGGTTGGTCCGTGCGAGCTCCCGAACCTCGGCCTCTGCCACGCCCATGACCGCCATAGCCTCCTCGATGACCCTGCTGTCGCTGGATATACTGGCCGAGGTGACCTGCCTGGACGAGCTCTTCGATACGGTCCCGGAGCGTGCGACACTCCTCCGTGGTGTGACCGTGGTTCCTGTGGTACCGACAATGCTTGGACTTGCCGGCGCTGTTTGGAGTGTGACCTGGTGGTGGAAGGGCGAGTAGGTTGTTGTTGCTGGCTTCTTTCCAGGATGTGGCCTCTGGTTGCGTTCAGGGGAGTGTAGAAGTCATACCTCCCCCCTCTGTTTGCCCTAGCCTACTTCTTGAACTGGCTGTCATTGTTGACTTTGACCTTATTGTTGTGCCCCTCTTTTGGCTTCGCTGGTCCTTTTCCGCGAACCTGGTCACGGAAGGTGGAGTGTTCCTCCATCTGAATGTAACCTGCAGCGCGGGCGCGGAGCTCGTTCATGTCGCGGGGAGACTCGCGACACAAGCTGTCGACGAATGGTCCGGGCTTGAGTGCCTTGAGCATGGCATGTAGGGCGACCTCGGGATTCAGGTTCTTGATCTTGATCGAGGTGGCAGCGAAACGTTCCATGAATGTCCGGAGCGGTTTGTCGTCGTTTTGCCTGAGACTGGCCAGGGCGGCTGAAGTGACATGGTGAGGCTGGCTCGTCGCATATTGCACAGTGAACCTCCGGACTAGGGTGCCGAAGCTGTCGATGGATTCGACAGGCAGTTGGGTGTACCAGTTGAGCGCGGCCCCCTTAAGTGAGGTCGGAAACACCCTACACAAGATAGCATCGTTGTTGGTGTAGAGATTTACCTGTGTTGTGTACAGGTTGATGTGTTCGTCTGGGTCCGTCGTGCCATCGTAACGGTCGAGGTGGAGAGGCTTCCACCCATGAGGGAGTGGTGTCTCCATAATGCCATCCACAAAAGGGGTGGCGGCGGAAGGTTTTGTATCACATCATTACACACAACATCAATATATTCTTCTTATACCGTGTATTCTTTTTTTCTCTTTTTCTTTGCACCTATGACCTATAATTTCAAAATTATTAGTGAAAAGTATTTTCTTGTGTCCCTCTATTGCCTTGTTCCCTTCTCCATCTAATGATTATTTCATTTCTAGTATTTCATTAAGGGCAAAATCATTCAGAAACCTTCGTAGGTTACACGGTAAAACTTGAAAATGGTATCATGACATGAAGACACATTGTTTTAAGTTTAGAGAGGATCACTTTTCATGTATTACAAATGTAACTCCCTCAAGTAGTTTGAAATCATCCCAAGTAGCTATGTAGACAATACACTCAAAACTTAATGGGAGCAAATGGGAAAGTGTCCCACGTTTCCCCTCCTTCCCAGAAAATATAACCAATTTAAATGATTCAGTGTATTTGTGGAGATGCAATTAATTAACATACCTGCCCAATAGCTTCTCTCTCACAATATTCTCTTAGTATCCCATCAGAATGTACAGCCCGAGGATTTCTAATTCTGTGGAATGAAGTCTTGCTGTTGAAAACCTCAAAGCATTTGGAACAACTTGCACCAATTCCATCAACAGTCAATGAGAAAAAATCAAGTGCCCCGCTTACAGGTTGCACAATGAAACCTAAAAAGGCACGTCCGAGCCCATGAGCCAATCCTAGAATACCATTCTGTCGGGCACTCTCAACAGGCTTTCTCACTACGCCAGAGACACCAAAGGCAACACCTTGGGCAAGAGCTTCTGTTCCTTGAATGATGCCATCCCCAACCCCAGTGATTCTCCTTGATCTTACCTGTTGCCATGTTTTAACTCATTTTGGATCACATGCAATTAAATAATTATGGTATGTGTTACCTGCTTTGCTCGTAATTGTAGAAATTGTCCATCTGTGGAAAGCTCAGCAAACCCTCTGCTAATAGAAGCCAATGTTGAACTTGTCATACCTAGTACATCCACTGAAAATATTAAATGTAAAGGATTATGAATCAAGTCTCTCCAAATACGATTTCCAATGGCTGGAACAATAGAACTTTTCCGCATGAATCTGTCTCTGTGCATCACCCTCCTCAGATGCACCTAAAATAATAGGTCACAGTTTTATCAGTCATGTCATTCTGGTAAAGGAAAATGTCACAAAATGATGTGATGAATTATGGATACTTAGGCATAACTAGAAAATTTTAAAGCCCAGATGCACTCAAGTATTCACAATGGTACAAAGAACTTGCAAAAAAGATGATAACACGATCCTTGCAACACAGAAAAGCAAAATGCTTCTCTTTGAAATCAGGAGTAATTTCAGGCATGCAAGAGACTTGACATCCTTGTGTACATTCTCAGTTTTTCCATGCTTCTTTGTTCTACCTTGTTTTACAAGTTTAGAAAGATACTCAATCTTCCCTTTAGTTGTAACTTTCCTAATTTTTTTTTAATTTATGTGTGGGCCATGTGCAATACTGTGATAGTGATTTCAGCTTGAGTGATTTGTTCATCCAGGCACTTTGGACACATCACCCTCATGCTTATGTATCCTTTTTATTGGTTTCTAATCCACTAATGTGGGACTTGTTCTCTAAAAGTTTTAACATGATCAAATAAAATGGAACAAAATAGTTAGGGAAAATAGAAAATGCAACACGGGAGTGCCCATGCTTGCGTGGCCCATCAACGCCTACCAATTCGAGTAGTTGTTTTGAATTTATCAACGGAGCTTCAATTTCTCCTGAGTCAGAATGACAAACAAAAAAAGTGATTCACCACAAGTATGTTAACTCTGGTGTGTTTGGACGAGAAATTTTACAAATTCAAGGAATTTTACAAATTCAAGGAATTTTAAATTCTTATAATTGTGCACTTTGAGTGCATCCAAAGTAAATGGTATTGTTGTCTTTCATAGTGTAGTTCATAAACTGGGGTATAAGGTCAGTATTTAGTATTACAATTACTCACTCTCTGCAAGAGTATTTTACAATATATTAGCCTGAATATTAGTATAATTAAATAGGATCATTGAGTTAGCATTTTGTATCACATCATTACACACAACATCAATATATTCTTCTTATACCGTGTATTCTTTTTTTCTCTTTTTCTTTGCACCTATGACCTATAATTTCAAAATTATTAGTGAAAAGTATTTTCTTGTGTCCCTCTATTGCCTTGTTCCCTTCTCCATCTAATGATTATTTCATTTCTAGTATTTCATTAAGGGCAAAATCATTCAGAAACCTTCGTAGGTTACACGGTAAAACTTGAAAATGGTATCATGACATGAAGACACATTGTTTTAAGTTTAGAGAGGATCACTTTTCATGTATTACAAATGTAACTCCCTCAAGTAGTTTGAAATCATCCCAAGTAGCTATGTAGACAATACACTCAAAACTTAATGGGAGCAAATGGGAAAGTGTCCCACGTTTCCCCTCCTTCCCAGAAAATATAACCAATTTAAATGATTCAGTGTATTTGTGGAGATGCAATTAATTAACATACCTGCCCAATAGCTTCTCTCTCACAATATTCTCTTAGTATCCCATCAGAATGTACAGCCCGAGGATTTCTAATTCTGTGGAATGAAGTCTTGCTGTTGAAAACCTCAAAGCATTTGGAACAACTTGCACCAATTCCATCAACAGTCAATGAGAAAAAATCAAGTGCCCCGCTTACAGGTTGCACAATGAAACCTAAAAAGGCACGTCCGAGCCCATGAGCCAATCCTAGAATACCATTCTGTCGGGCACTCTCAACAGGCTTTCTCACTACGCCAGAGACACCAAAGGCAACACCTTGGGCAAGAGCTTCTGTTCCTTGAATGATGCCATCCCCAACCCCAGTGATTCTCCTTGATCTTACCTGTTGCCATGTTTTAACTCATTTTGGATCACATGCAATTAAATAATTATGGTATGTGTTACCTGCTTTGCTCGTAATTGTAGAAATTGTCCATCTGTGGAAAGCTCAGCAAACCCTCTGCTAATAGAAGCCAATGTTGAACTTGTCATACCTAGTACATCCACTGAAAATATTAAATGTAAAGGATTATGAATCAAGTCTCTCCAAATACGATTTCCAATGGCTGGAACAATAGAACTTTTCCGCATGAATCTGTCTCTGTGCATCACCCTCCTCAGATGCACCTAAAATAATAGGTCACAGTTTTATCAGTCATGTCATTCTGGTCAATTATAACAAAAGTACTTCAACGGAAATCTCAACACGTGCCCGACCTCATCTTGTGCTGTGATGCCGAGGTCAGAGCTCGGCTTCGCGGTACGGACAGTACATGTTGTTTTCGCCAAAGTTCCTCCATTAACCTTTGAATCCAAATTGCTTTCTTGCATGCTTAGGTAGCTACTATGTATTTGTAATAGACAAAGCCACAACAGTATGTAACTTGGATAACCAGTTTATTGCCCTTCCAACAAGTGTAAACACATAACCAATAGAATATTTCCTTTTATCCAAATCACCTATAAAATCTGAATAGACATAGTCCTTGATAATAAATTTTGTTCCTTCAAAACATAATGCAACATCTGAGGTTCCTTTGATGTATCTAAGAATCCTCTCAACAACATTCCAATGCTCTCTACCAGGGTCTACCATAAACCTATTGACTGCTCCTACTACTTGTGCAATGACTAGTCTTGTATAAATCATGGCATACATAAGGCTTCCCACCGTTGATACATATGACACTCAAGAAATTTCTTCCCTTTCTACTTCATTTTCAGGACCCATACTTGAGGATAATTTGTAATTGACAGGAAGTGAGGTAGAAATTGGTTTATAGTCTTTCATGTTGAAGCACCACAAGAATTTTAGTAAATATTTTTTCTAAGAAAGCCAAATCTTCTTATCTTTTCTATCTTGGTGAATTTGCATCCATAAAATCTTTTTTTTCTAGTCCCAAGTCCTTCATATCAAACTCCTTAGCCAATTATGCCTTCAATTATTGGATTCGATCTTTGTTAGGGTCTACCACCAACATGTCATCCACATACAACAACAAAATAATTAAGTTATTGTCATCAAACCTATTATAGTACGTGTAATGATCTAAACTCGGGCTGTTGTATCAAAGGTTAATAATGAAGGAACCAAATCTCTTGTACCGATATCTCACTTGCTTTAGACTATACAAAGATTTGATCAACCTACAAATCAAGTTTTCCTTTTCTTGTTCTTTAAAGCCCTTTGGTTGGAGCATATATAATTATTCTTCAAGTTCACCATGAAGAAAAACAATCTTTACATCAAGTTGTTTAAGATGTAAATCAAATGTAACACATATAATTAGAACAACTTTGATTGTGGTCAATCGAACAATTGGTGAGATGTTCATTGAAATCAATGCCCTATTTTTGAGCATACCCTTTAACCACCAATTTTACACGATACCGCTCTACTTGATCATTGTTATCTCGTTTAATTTTGTTGACCCATTCACACCCAATGGACTTTTGACCTTCTGGAAGCTTAAGAAAGTTCTCATATCTCATTTTTATGTAAAGCCTCCACTTTTTCCTGCATTGCTATCATCTATAGATAAATGTCTAAACTCCTTAAAGTCTCTTTAAATGTTAATGGTTTTCCTTCTTTAGTTAGAAAATCATATGTATCATGACTTGCCATGACATAATCTGAGTGCCAAGATGGCCTCCCTATCTGACATCTTGTCTATTGAGCTTCTCCATCATTGGTCTCATTTGGTTCTTGTTCTTCATGCTCTTGTTTTACTTTAGAAGTGTCATTTTCTTTAGATTTCTTCTCTATCACCATTTTAGTAGTATCTTTGGTAATGTTGTCATTTTTTTGCTTCGTTTGTAGTTCATTATCTACAAATACTACATCCCTACTAACAACAACTTTGCGATCTATGGGATCCTACAAGTGATACCCGTTAACATTGTCGCATAACCCAAGAATATACACTTTTTGGATTTTGGATCCAATTTTTTTCTTTCTTGGGAGATGTACACCACAAACATGGGACATCCAAACACATGTAAAGAAGAATAATTAGCCAATTTGCCTTCCCACATCTCCATTGGTGTTTTTAAACTAATTGTTGTTGATAGTTGTTGATTTATTACATAACATGTGATTTTAACTACTTCTCCCCAGAAAGATTTGACAGCTTTCACTATTCTCGACACATCTCTTGTTCAATCTAGGAGATTTTTGTCCATTCATTTTGTTACACCATTTCGTTGAGGCATATGTGACATTGTGAATTGCCTTGAAAAACCCTTTTGCTTGCAAAATGCCAAAAAGTCACTATCTACATATTTTCCTCCACTACCCATTTCTTCCTAAGTTCAAGCTCCACTTGCGCTTTAAATCCCTAGAATACCATAAACACATTTGACTTCTTCTTGATTGGGTACACCCATAATCACCTAGAGTAATCATCAATGAATGATACAAAGTATTTTTCTCTTCCCAAAGATACTTTTATCAATTTTCATATATCAGAATGGATCAAGTCAAATATGTTTACTTCTAATAATTACATTAACAAACTTTAATTTATGTTGCTTTCTTGTCACATAGTGCTATCAAAATGGTAAATTTATCATTTTAAACTCTAATAAGAGATTACATTCTGCAAGAATTTTCAAGCCTTGCTCTAACATATGACCAAGTCTATGATGCCACGTCATTATTGTTTTCTCTTAACTTGTTACAACTAATTAATGCATCTGTTTCTTGTAACGTATATCCCAAAAGCATGTATAAATTGATTGTGATCTTCTCTACTTGAAACATATCTCCCAAGAATAGCTCTAGTAACATCCTCAAAGGATAGATGCTCGATGACATTGTTATTTGTTATGTTAATGATGATTGATGAGTTGATTATATGAATTTGGTAAATCTTGAAGTAGAAACTCTACAAATTTGTTTTCTACTATGTTGAAATTTGATGTTGTAAGTTGAGAAAATAGCGTATTCAAATTATCAATGTGGTATATTACTGATGTGGACTCACTCATTCAAAAAGTGTAGAATTTCCTCTTTAATTAAGAATATTCTAGTGTGAAGTGACTTGACATTGTACAAGTTGATGAAAGTATCCCAAATCTCCTTCGCA